CTGATGAATCAGCCCATGTAGGCCTACAATTTACAATTCTACTGTGCATAAGAATAGGTTATTGTCCCCCCTTTGACAATGGCCTAAAGACACTTCAGTCAGCACAGCCCTGGGGGGGATGACAGATGTTTGACAGGAAAGAAGAAGCAAACCACAACAGAACATTCACCAACCATCCACACTGATGAGTGATAGACAGTCAGACAAACAGAATGACAGGCAAAACATAAAGAATGAGAAGAAGCAGGACCTACCAGTGTCACCCTCTCATACAATGGCAAAGCGTGCCATACTCAGAAGTAGAAGTAGAAGTTGCTACAGCCACAGATAAAGAGTGGGTGGTCAGCAGGTGCTCTGGTGTGGTTTGCTTCTTCTTTCCTATCAAAAATCTATCATCTTTATAATCTTTATCTTCCCTATTTATCTTTTGTGTTAGTTACTCTCTTGTAACACCTCTAATCTTCAGCACTTATATGACCTTACTGTGTTGCAAGTGCTGCAAAACTCTTAACTAAAACTAAAACAGATAAAAACTACAAATTCACAAAACTCTCCAACAACTGGTCATTGATGGTCACACCCGGGGTGTGTTTTATTGGCGTAAGTCTCACACAGTAGTCACAGCCAGGTGTATTATTATTTTTTATTTTATTTAGTAAGGCTTTACGGCGCTCGCAACTGCATAAGGTCATATGAGCGCCAAGGGCTGGATGTCAACAGAGAAGTCTTTACAGGGAATCAGGCTTACTCTGCTCACCTCTCTAGCCTCAACAGCACAAAGTCTGCTTCGACTATCAAGGCACCCCGGAAATAGCGGGTCACAAGAGAGTGACAAACATACAAAAGAAGTAGAGGAAAATGGCGATTGTAAGGATGATGAAAGAAAAAACAGCTGTTCCCGTTGTCGTTCAGGCACAGTTATGAGCGTGGCATTGTGGAATCGGCCTATTTACAATTCTACTGTGCGTAAGACTAAGAACGAGAAATGTCCCACCTTTGGGAATACCCTAAAGACACGTCAGTCAGTAGCACCGCCCCGGGGGGTTAAACACAGAAGTAGAAGATGCTGCAGCCACAGAAAAAGACAATAAATTCATGAAAAAAACTCCAACAACAGGTCATTGAAGGTCACATCCGGGGTGTGTTTTATTGGCGTAAGTCACACACAGTAGTCACAGCTGCCACTGCAAACGTCATAGTACAGTAGAACTTAATATTATAGAATCATACCTGGAGGTGCACCATTAGGACATGCTGTCCTGTCATATCATTCAGCTAACATACAGAATTCATTATGTACTCAAGACGTCATTTGGCTACAGACAGAATACACATACTTATGACGACGTCATTCAGCTACATACAGAATTCGTGTACTCTTGAGGTCATTCAGAAACACACAGAATACATGTACTTATGACCTCATTTTGCTACATATATAACACATGTACTAAAGACCTCATTCAGATACATACAGAATACATGTACTCAAAAAGCAGAAGCATAAACAAGTTCGATGATTCAGTTACATACACAAACCATGTACTCATGATGTCATTCACCTACAAAAAAGATACATATGTTCTGTACTCATAATGTCATACAGATGCACACATTATAATACATGTACTCAAAAGCAAAAGCATAAACAAATTCGATGATTCCGTGTCATACATAAACATGTACTTCATTCAGCTACATACAGAATACACATACTTATGATGACGTCATTCAGGTACATACATATTTACAAGCACTCAAG